GAGACCCTGTGGGCAGTTCCACTCTGTCCTCTAGGGGCGCTGTGGGTCAGAATGGACTCCACGCAGTGGGTGTGGTTTGGGCTTTGCTTCCCTGAAGATTGACAGCCTTGGAGACCCTGTGGGCAGTTCCACTCTGTCCTCTAGGGGCGCTGTGGGTCAGAATCAGCTCGATAGTGGGTAGTTGGATGTGCTAGGTGGAGTCTTCGGGCGGTGCAGAGGGTCAGGTGCTTGGCTACTAACTGAAAAGGATGGAGGTTCGAGTCCACCCAGGGGTGCCTCGGGGGAAAGGCCTGGCATTCCATTGAGAACCTTTCGAAACGCAGCTGTGCTCTGACACACAAGGCCTCGCCTTGAGTCAAAATCAACTCCATGGCATCTTTTTTTCTTAATGTGCTGGGCACTGTATGTGGTGGGACAGTGGTAAGCGCTCAGCCAAAGGTCAGTGGTTGGAACCTCCCGGCTGGTCTGCTTCCACAAACACTGAGGCCTCGGAAACCTTATGGGCAGTTCTACTCTGTCCCTTGGGTCACTGAGTCGGAATTGGCTCACCCCTCTTTCCTGCACTGGGACCCCACCCTTTGTGAAGAAACAGGCCATTATTGCCCTTCCCAGAGTCCTCTGGGGCAAACCTGTTAATAAACTACCACCACCCACGGGCGACCCCCCACTTCTCCTGCACCGGCACTGCTGTTTCGTTGCGAGTGGCCAACAAGTTGATTCTGACTCATGCAGCCCCACGTCTTCCAGAATCAAACTCTGCTCCCTAGCATTTTACAGCCTTTCGGAAGCAGGCCAGCGCCCTTTCTTCCTCGGTGCCTCGGGGTGGGCGTTCTACCTCGTGGTCACGCGTTTAGCCACCTCTGCCCAGGGCCTCCTGTGTGCTGGCACTAGACTGCCACTTAGGAGCTCGGCGCTGTGCTGAAGCCCTCGGTGCCTCGGTTTCCCGTCTGCAGTGCGGGCGTGCCAACTGTCCCCTTCTGTGCAGCAGTGTGGGTCGCCGTCGGGTGCCTCCAAGGCGTTCCAACTCGCAGGGACCCCGTATGAGGGGCGAGGTGTTCCACTGGGCTTCCTAGCGTGTGACCCAGGGGCTGCTAACCGTTCAGACATGGCAGCCATCCTGCGACGGCACGGGACCGGGCAGCTTGCCGTGCCGTTGTGCACGGAGTTAGAGCGGACTGGGCCACACCTACAGCACACTCTCCTAGACGAGGTCTGTTTTCGTCCTCCCAGAGCGGCTGGGTGGCTTCGAACGCGCGACCTTTTGGTCGGCTGCTGAGTGTGGAACCACCGCGCCACCGAGCTCCTCGGTGCTGAGGAGGGCGTGGGTGCGTCCGAAGCGAGGCCTCGCGCCTGCCCAGTCGGGTTAGGGGTCCCGGTTCTTCCCTGTCCAGGGGGCTTTGCCTTTTGACGACGACAACCTCCGTCAGCTGCTGGAGAAGGTGAAACGGGGTGTTTTCCACATGCCCCACTTCATCCCCCCGGACTGTCAGAGCCTCCTGAGGGGCATGATCGAGGTGGAGCCGGAGAAGAGGCTCAGTGTGAGTGAGGGGAGACGCGGAGACCGGATGGGGGGCCGGGACCCGCAGGGGAGTCGGGACGTGGCTTCCTAAGACCTGCCTGTCAGTCCCTGGGGTGAGGGGTAAAGATGGGGGCCGCTGGCTGAGCCGCAACCCAGCAGCTCGCAAAACCCACCACCGCGAACCGAGGCCAGAGGCGTCAGAACCGTGGGCCGGGAGCCCCGGGCAGAGGGAAGGCGCGTGCAAGGGGCGGCTCTTCCGGGGGGCGGTGCACGCGTGCGCTAAGCTGTATATGGCACCCTGCCTTTGCTTCTGGTCCAGAGTGCTGGGACCGCGTGTGCAGAGCGATGTGCTAAGCCGCCACTAGGGGGAGACACGATACGCCATCCAGAACCTGGCGGGGGGCGCGGTTAGGGCCCCCCCAGCCCCCCCATTAACCCCACCCCGTTCAGCTTTGCCTGCTGTGTGCACACCACCTCACTCTGCTTCTCCACCACCCACCCCCTTCACAGTTGGAGCAAATTCAGAAACATCCCTGGTACCTGTGAGTGTGGGGAAACTGGACAGCTGGGGCCCTGGGGAGGACGGGTGGGGACCCGAATATCGAGTGCCCCAAAGTAGAAGTGGGGGGATGCCGAGGTTCCGGTTCCGGGAAGGGCTCGGGACTCAGGATTCGGGGTGCTGGGGGAGGGGCGGGGGTCAGGAGTCCTTGGTTGGAGGGAGGCGGGGCTGGGGTGCAGACTCCTGGCGGGGGTGCGGGACGCCTGGGTGTCGGTGAAGACCCGGACTCAAGTCCTCGGTGCCTGGGCCCCTTTGATGCGTCTCCCCCTGCCTAGGGGCGGGAAACACGAGCCGGACCCCTGCCTGGAGCCGGCCCCGGGCCGCCGGGTGGCCATGCGGAGTCTCCCATCCAACGGAGAGCTGGACCCCGACGTCCTGGAGAGCATGGCGTCGCTGGGCTGCTTCAGGGACCGCGAGCGGCTGCACCGTGAGCTGCGGAGCGAGGAGTAAGACCACGGCCCCCACCCCCCTCCTCCGCTGCCAGCAGCCGGCAGGGGGCGCGCGGTGCAGACTGGCCCCGGGAGGAAACCACGCGGGGGCACCGCAGCAGCCGGGAAGAGGCAGGAGGGTGAGACAGCGTCTGTAGGGCCAAGCCAGGGCTGCAGAGGCAGCCCAAGAAATCAGGCCGTAGTACTCAGTGCTCCAAGTGCTGCAGCGGTAAGCGTTCCGTTGCCAAGGGACACATGGGTAGTTCCAACCCACCAGCTGCTCCGTGGGAGACAGATGTGGCTGTTTACTTCCATAAAGATTGCAGCTTAGAAAACCCTATGGTGGCAGTTGTGCTCTGTGTCCCGTAGCATGGCTAGGAGTCGGAATGGCCCCCATGGCTCGCAACCATACCAGTAGCAGGTCCTTATGGAGGGTCATGGGAGCTCTGGTGGCGTAGTGCCTAAGGCACTTGACTGCTGACCAGAAGGCTGGCGGTTCAAACCCACCAGCCACTCCTCAGAAGGAAGGTTGGGCGATCTACTTCCCTAGTGGTACCGCCTCGGAAACCCAAGGAGGGGTCGCCATGGGTCAGCTCCGCCTTGACGGCAGTGAGTTTGCTTTGGTTTGGTTTGGAGGGTCACTGAGGGCCAGGAATTGATCTTGTCCCTAGGAGATCTGGCAGCCTATTGGTTACCTGCGTTTAAATCCCGGCTCTACCCTCCGCCACTGTGTGAACTGTGTAACATTGGGAGAATGGCTTGATACCCTCTTGGAAACGACAGCACCGACTGAATAGAGCTGTTAAGATACATTAAGTAAATTCGTTCACAGCAAGCATTTAGAATGGTGCAGAAGGAATTGCTCAGACGGTACAATGAAACAGACCAAACTCACTGCCTGGAGTCGACTCTGACCCACAGCGCCCCTAGAGGACAGAGTGGAACTGCCCACAGGGTCTCCAAGGCTGTCAGTCTTCACAGAAGCAAAGCCCAAACC